TTTCTGTATGCGTTTGGGTTACGTCCCAGATTGTTTAGATTCACAAATCACCCCCCTAGGGCCTAAGTCCAACCAGGGGATGTGCTCAAACAGGGATTTAGAGATTTACGATGGAAATTATTTTTTATAAATGGTTTCCATGGGTTTAAAAACTATTATAACAATAATTATTGGTTTCCGTGAAATCAGTGTACCTATTCATTCAATGCATTCAATTTTTTTGTAAGCTATGTTTTGATATTATATGAATCAAAATTACGTAAATATTGAGCGTATTATACTCACATATAAATTACGTACATAAAACAATGCCACTTCGTGGATGGGGAGGAAATATTAGTCGACAGACTCGGCATTCACAATTAGTCCAGCCGTTTAGAAGGAGTTCAGTGACATGCTTGATATAACTTTGATACTTTAGAGTTATATTATAACTCTTAGTTGTATTATAAAGTTACGTACAAACAGCACGGGGTCCGTGATAGGTAGAGGTAAAGTAGATTGCCTACCTGTTAATATACTTCTGCGAATCAGAATTTTTATTCCAGGCAACCGAAAAGTAACTTAATCTTAACTGTTAAGAATGTTAAGATACATTTTTAACACCATACACCGAATATTAAATAACGAATTGAACAAAGTTTGAGTCATATACAGTTGGTACATTTAACGGGAAACGAAGTGCACAGGCTCAGCTTGTTAGATAGTATAATAATATAATATATCAAACACGTTTTCTTTAAAAAAGATAGACCATTTATATCATTTCCTTACATAGGTACATGATTTTCTTCTTGAATAATTAATTTATTGTTCATCCATATTCCATGTTAATAAATCTAATCTATTTATTTTTTCTCTATGTATTTATTCATATATTTATCTTTTTGTAAAATATTAGATGAATATAATTTCAAATTAAATTCTTCTATTTCAGACCTGCTAACACAACTCTTAAATTCATTATTCGATTAGTATTTAAACTTAAAGCCTGAAAATGGAACTTCATAAAAACGTTGAACGAATAAATAAAAATAATATGTGGTAATTATACTATTTTGGAAAGAAAAATATTATAATTATAATAGGTACTATAGATGAATTTTACATGGTATGAGTTAGAATTACACACATTGTTTTTGGATAAATAACACCGACCACAATAACACGTTCTACTCTATTTTTTTGTATTATTATTATTTCACGATATCTTAAGTAAGAGATCATGACACAGTTATGTTTTAGTCGCTTGGGTGAATTCAACAAATGTAAATGAAGTTGACAGTTTTTTAATAAGAATATTCGGGAAGAGTTTCCAAACGTTTGTAAAAACATTTCACTCTCTTGTGTAGGTTTTATTTTTATTATTTTCAAAGTAAACAGGACTGTTAAAAAGTGGCACTTCTATATTTCAAGTAAATGCCTGTTTTGAATATCGTTTTTTGATTAGAAAATATATAAAAAAAAAATAATAACAATCATTTTTAATAAAAATAAAAAAACTCAAATTTGGTAGTAATCCAAAGTTTAAATCCATTCGAAAATGTGACACAAATAACGATCAACTTTTACTTTAAACGAAAATAGTAATTAATAACAAAATGAAAAACACTTTGAAATGAAAGAATTCTTAAAAACAAGGGTGACATTTATTATTTTTATATAAACGTCAGCTACAATGATAACGTTTTATTCGGGGCGCGTACGAAAACAAATTAAATACGACGCCACTGCCACTGCCATTTCAACGGAACATAATATATATAGTGATGGTGTATAATAATATATTATACTATTAGTATAGTATAGTAGGTATGACAACACAACAATATGAAATATCGAAATAAAAATGTATTATATGATTGTATGACTCTAACCTTTATTCGCCGAAGAATAATATTATATACATTTCGTGTAGTTAATAAACACTCAGACTCAGTGACGTATTATTCTTATGGGTGACAACCCCTCTCACACTTGGGAATTCGACCTTGGTCTTTTGAGTACTTTTAAACGTCCTATATTAACCAATTTTAATCACCGTTTTACCCTTTCTCCCCTTCGTGGAGCACATTAGACACCCTGACCTAACCCCGCACACTATTAGTTTTACTCAAATATTACAATACTCGATGTACATTGACACATATAATATTAGTATGTAAGTACTCGACAATTATAGGTCATTGGCTGCAGGGGCGTATTTATGGGGGTGGCTGGGTGGGCTGCAGCCCCCCCTGAAATTTCAAGAACATCCAAAAAATATGAATATCAATAAAACTTTATTTGTTGGGTAAAAAAGCTTGAAAATTTAATACAAGGCTCCTGCTTTATTGTTACAATAGCAGTTGAAAAATATGAAAAATCCTTAGTCATAGTTTTTTTTATAAGCATTTAAAGTTCGAATCTTGACAAAATACGGAAAAATCACAAAACTTAAAATTTTTCTGAATGTTTTCATTTTTTACACACCAAAAAAATTTGAAAATATTTTGCCTCTTTTTGAGCTATTTAAGGACATTGACAGTTTTCATTTTTCTTAGTTTTTTTCTATAAATATCAATAAAAATTTTTTTGTTGGGTAAAAATGCGTGAAAATTTAATTCAAGGCTCCTGATATGTTGTAACAATATTAGTTGAAAAATATTAAAAATACATAGGCTCAATTTTTTCTTATAATCATTTAAAGTTCGAATTTTGACAAAATTTATCAAATTTAAAATGTAATAAATATTTTGTAATTAAAAATTTATAAAATGTTCAACTTTCATAGTTAAGGATTGAAAATTTAAAACAATGGTCTACGTAAATAGGTAAATATATAAATTACTTTATTCACAATAATATCATAGGCTGACTGACCGTTTTCGCTTAGAATCGTTTTTCTTATACAATGATATTATATCATTGAATTCAAATTTTACACCATCCATTACAGTACCTACTGTACAGCAGAGCGACATCCACTTTACCACTTTTTTATTTTATTGTGTGACTATGTTGATCATTTTGTTCAGCCCCTCCCGAAATAAAATTCTGGATACGCGCCTGATTGGCTGAGTGTACCTCTACGGTATTTTCGTACAGTCCGATATCGGGATCCGGATATCTATGACTGCAGAACAACCGAAGATCGTGTGCGCAAATCTCTAGAAATTGCAATGGCCACAGATACAGAAATGTGGTTCAAAAGTATTTTTACAAACAACCTTGGGTAACGTGATCTGACTTCAATTATCTTAGTATGGTATCGTGGTCCTGAGCGTTATACTTTGAGGTGGATCGGGTGTGTTTAGCTCCACCAGTTTTGAAATCGGCAGCGTCGTAACATATTAATTTTATTGTTATATATTTTTTATGTACGCAAACACTTCCAGTAGAGTTTTCGGTTTTTACAACACAATATGTATGTTGAGTAGTTAATATTTTTATCATAAAACTGAATCTTATGTTTTTAATATTATATAGTATCACTGAGCTACGACTATCCGTCGCAAGCCCGTATAAGGATAGTACAAAGCCATTATTGTAAATATCAGCAACTATACCTAGTACCATTATACCTATATTACCTACCTAGTCGTAACTCGTAGTACGCCGACTCTATGTGGGGAGTCTGCAAATAACACTTGACGTGTCGCGTAAGTACTATAACTTACGACTTTTAACTAGGCGCAGTATTAATATTTACCTACCTCCGAAGCGTTTGGTCGTAATCAAATGTAGGTCACAATTAATTCCAAAATCACATTTTTGGAGTTAGGACAATATTGCGAATTAGGCTGATGATATATATATTAATTTTAAATTGTAATAAATATTATTGTATACAAAAAATTGGGGTGTACAATTATACGCCATCGAGTCCAACATTAGAACTCGGATCACCTATATAGTATTACAGTATAATATACCGACTCTGTGGAGTGTGCGAATAACACGCCTGGAGCGTCTTCTAAGTACTACTCACGATTTTTAACAGTACCTATTAATGTTTACCTACCACTGAAGCTCAAACTTACGACGCGGTGTTTGCCGCAGAGACGTCTACATGACTACATGGTTGCACGTTTATTTCAGTGTGTATTCGGTTATTTCCATATCACGATGCAGAACAAAAACATTATCCGCAGGCATATAACACCGAGCTGTTTGCGAATAGGTAAATACTATAATATAATTCCTAACTAGTCGAAACGGAGAGGCGTGGACTTATAATATATCGCTCATATAATATTATAAGCACCCGTACATGGCTCGATTTTGGGGTGGTTAAACGGAAGGTGAAGTAAATCATTTGTCAACCACTCTAGTATAGATAATTTTTAATTTTTTTACTATCATGAAAATCGATGACATCCATGACAATACAATATCCACCTGCGTGACCATATAGGATTATTACATATATCTATGCAAACTAAGGTTGCCATTTATACAAAAATACAAGTCGGGACACTATAATACCCCCCCCCCCCCCACAACACATTCTTTGGAATTTTTAATAAAACTTTTTTTAGTTTAACGTTATTTAATATTTTTATTATATTATAATTTATAATAAATAAAAAAGTCAAAAATTAGAAATAGCACAAAATGTAATAATAGTATTATTATTATCTTATTCATAAATATAATTTTAAATTATCTAAAAAAATTAATTAGGTATACAATTTTTAATTTAAAACAGAGTGGTCTTACTTATTTACTAATATGTGTATTGTTTAAATATGCATCATTATTCATCATCGATTTCATCAAACTTCAGTTTTCGAATTTTTTCATGTTTGAGATCCAGAAGCTTCCGTTTCTGATTTTTGATTTGTTGTTGAATATTTTGCAGTTTTATGAACTCGAATGAGCAAATCTTTATTTTTCGAAATGTCTTCATAAAATTGTTGGCATGGTTTATTTTCCAAATTAGTCTTAATGACTAAAGTAGCTTCTACTGTATTGATGCATAAATTACCTCGTGACTTTGTCCAACAACTGTTCACCAATCAAAATATTCTCTCCACTGCAGCGTTAGATCCAGGCAATGCAAATGCAAATTCTACAATTTTTAATAACATAGAATAATCAATATTATTCTCTTTAAATGATTTAAAAATTGACAGCCATTTTTCTTCAGATGTTTTGCATTGCCATTCATCGGTTTTATTTCTTAAAAATTGTTCAAACATTTTAAATTGTTCATACAGTTCTTCCTCGTTTAAAGTAATATTAAAATTTAATTTTAGAAAAGAAATAGATGGTTTTATGTTGGACCAATTTATTTCATCTTTGTTTGACAAACAAACCCATGTTAATGAATTTAATTCTGGTATATGTTGGTTTGAAGCAGTCCAATCTGTTATATAATTTATGCATAAGTCATAAAATTTAGTACACGTTTCTTTAAACTCTGATTTAATTATTTCACCACTTTCTTCTAGATGAACAAGTAATGCTTCGATATCACTTGGTGAAAAAAAATCATCTTTTTTATTTTTTAATTTTGTAGTTAATTTTTCCATAATTAGTATAAGTTCCACCGCGCAAAGCTTTTGATTTTCAATTATTTTAATGTATATATTTATAGTTTTCAATTGACTTTGTAAGAAGTTAAGCCACAAAATAGAAGTTTCATTTTTAAAAAATGTTTTCAAAATGTTTGGACAGTTATTTTGGGATAAAAAATACGATTTAAGTACACTAAACATTTCTATTATTCTTTCAATTGCCGGATATAACGATAACCATCTTGTTTTGGAGTGTGATAATATTTCTTTATACTGAACATCAACAAACGAACAGAATTCTTTTAATGTTTCAACACGTACGGTATAAATATGGAAATATCCAAATATTTTACAAACTATTATTTCAATATCAATAGGAAGACTATCCGCAGCATACTAACTACTGTTATGTATTACGTGCAGTGTTGGGGAAGTTACTTATTTTTGGTAATTAAATTACATTACTAATTACTTATCAAAATTGTAACTAAATTATTTTTAAGTTACTTTTTTTTAATTTGGTTAAGTTACATTACTTTTGAGTTTAAAAAGTAACTGAATTACAATAGAAGTTACTTTTTTTCAAAAATATCACTGGAGCTTAATAATCATGTTGTCAATATAAGAATACATAAACTAAATAGATAATGACAATCAAAAATATGAAATTATTAACGGATGATACTTTTCTTGCAACACTATTATTATTATTTTTTTATTGAATTTAAGCCCGGAAACTATGGTCATTAGCTGTTGTACGGGATTATGAACTGTGTTTGGTAAGGTTGGTATGGTAAGGTGCTGTTACGGTATCTATGCAAACACGTGTTAGTTTTTTACTACTACGAATCCGGGCGGTCACCCATCCAGGAACTAGTAGCAGCGGGCGTAAGTTAATATCAGTCGTATTGCCAAGTCACACATTTATTTATTAATTAATTTCTTTTTCCTTAACTAACAGCAACGTAGAAAATTGGGTGGTTTTTAACCGTGGGGGAGGATACTGTAGGTTTTTGTAAACACGTGTGTTTAAGCTTGGCAGAATTTCAAATTGGGCACCCGTAGGTGCCATGCCCGATCGAGGGATGGCGGCCTCTCTCTCCAGACAAATGTCTGCCGGAGAGAAGTTCAGCCCGTGACCGAGATTCGAACCGGCGAATTTATTGATAGTTCCAACAATGCTGTATGACGTACAACCTTCCGCGACGATACAACACAGAGTAAAGATAAGAATTCCATTCTAAAAGTAACACTTTATAGTCATCGAATAGCCAATAGCTATAGCAAAAATATTACAGTTTAGACAATTTTACCTATAAATCAAAATACTTATAAGTTATATTATGATATATTTTAATAATTACCTACACACAATATTATCAATATGTTCTAAAAAATGTAATAATCCAAAAAAAAAGTAGCGAGTAATTTAGTAAAAATTACTACAAAAAAGTAACTTAAATTACATATAAGTTACTTACAATAAAATGTAATTAAATTACCATCAAATTACTTAAAAAGTAATTTCGTTACAGTAACTTGTAACTTAAGTTAAGTTACTCCCCAACACTGATTACGTGTGCGCAGCAACCTAATCCCAAAATATAACGCTTTAATGTATTTTTTAATTTTAAAAATACATTATTTTTGCCTTTTCTAGCAATACCGCCAAAGTTTGTGTTAGTATTATCTCCAGAGAAACTTATTATTTTTTCTTCGAGTTCAAATTTTTTCAAAACACTTACAATTTTATTGTGAATTAACTCGGCAGTTTCTCCGGGTAAGCTCGAAAAGTCCAAAATATCATTTTTAATCCCATTCTCTGGATTAAAGTATCTAACAATTACAGGAACTAATTTTACGGACTTATGATTTGAGGCATCAACAAGCACAGAAATATAATTAGCTTTTTTTAAACCTTCAATAGTATTCCCCATTGCGAAAGGAGCTAAAATATTTACTATTAGGTCACGGGTTTTTGTCTTAGCACAAGTAAATTTTTTTTCATTAAATAAAAGACGAATAAGATCTGCTGTACAAGTCATTGAGTTAAAACTATGATTATGCATAACAGTATGAAAAGCTAAGGTTATTTCTTTGGCCGCTAATTTCAATGATTCGTCATTAGCTTTTAATGGTGTAAAAAAATTATTTACTTTGCCAGATGTCAATGCAGCCTTTTGTGCTATTTTATGTTTATTGGATTTCATATGATATGTTATAGGTATCAGTTTTCCCTCCATGGCTAACTGAAAATGTACTCAAACATACAGTACATTGCACATCAAAATTATTGTCGGTTTTTACCTTTTTAATGAATGGAAATTCATTTTGGAGTTTGTCAGTGAAGCTGCATAATCGTTTTGGAGCCATGATGTTTAAAATAATAATACGTAGAATAGCATAAAAATAAAAATTAATAACTACAACACAGAACACAGCAAAGTAATTTAATACTAAATACGTATGACTGAAGAGTGAAGACTAATATATGACTATAATATACGACTAATCGTTATTTCTATAAATTGTATACGCTATGTCGCTATGAAAGTTTATCGGTAAAATTATCGGTCCTCGGCTATCTCGGAAATTTCCGACAATTATTTATTGTTTGTTATTCACACGTGAACAATTCGGGACTTATTTTAAGAAACCGGTACTTATCCACGTCCCGGCCGGGAAATGAAAACAATCGGGACTCTGTAGTAAAAACCGGTAGTGTCCCGGCGAAATCGGGACGAATGGCAATCCTATGCAAAGCGAATGAGGTAGATATAATAGATAGGTATTAATACATAGTACATACTTTATAATAATAAATAATACGTTTAATATGAGTAACATAATAATATTAATAATATTAATTTAATACAGAACAAAACAGGTGGCGAAGAGCGATAGACGGTTTCAGAATAGTACCAGCGAACACAAAAGTGAGATAACGGTGGGAGAGGAGGGGATGTTTAAAAACCTTTTAAACTCTATAATATAGGTACATATTAGTTATTACTGGTCTATCATGTCAATAGAACCACAACAACAAATTAACCGCCTGACAAATTTCTTTGTCTGGCGCCAAAATGAACGACGAGGACGTCTGTGTCTCGGACTTTCCGGTTTCCGTACATCGCTGATCACCTGCTGAAACTTTAGATTTGGCGTTGATCGCCACCCCATATCTGCAGCTGTCTCGCCAGCTAATTTTGGATGTACGGGGATGTTTGGCTCAGATACACAGAACCTGCCATCCAGAAAACCTTTGGAATCAAAATTTTTCGACGATTCCGGTCTTCGTATATCATTGGTACGGTTAAACTTCAGATTTGGCGTTGATCGCCATCCAATATCTGTCGATTTGGCTGAGGAATTTTCACACATCGCGGCCATGTTAGGCATAGATACACATCTATATGGCATATTTATTTGATAATATTATATAGGCAGAATTAACGGAGAAGATTATACAGAAATACGTAGAAATGAAATTTATTCGTAATGAACACAAGAAATGAATATTGACAAGTGGTAACTATGTGACACAGATATGAATTGTAGATTTTTGAAACATTCACGTACATGGCAACGATATTTTAGTTGTTTGTGTTGTTTTCTTAGAGCCAATATTAATAATGTTAATGAATTTCATAATGCTTTACCAAGAATTTTCGAAAACTAATTGGATTCATGTTGGTCAGCTTGACAATCCATCAAGGAAAGTATAAATAGTTCTCATTATTTGATTAATATTAATGTATAAGACATTTTTTTTTCAGAGTCATGTTTCATAAATATTGGGTACCTATGTCAGCACAGTAAGGTGACTTCATTAACATTATTAATATTGGCTCTAAGAATCGAGGTCTTTTCATGTATATTAGAAACTTCATTTGATAGAACCGCAATGATATTATTATTTTTTAAGAACTTAATGAATTCATCCATTATGAATACAATATAATTGATTATTCAGAAATTCAGAAACAGAGAACTACCACCAACAAGTTAAATACCCAAACAACCAGAGCTTAAAAATACCTAACTAGTGAAAATGCTTTAAACACTAACAACTTAAAATTAAAAGTACAACTATAACGGAGATGTACAATTAAAGTTTGAACATGACAGCAAGTCAAAAATCAATTTAATATTCCTGTTGACAAATTAATAATAGCTGGTAGGTAGTCTGGTAGTCAATAAATAAACCATGTGACTATACTGTTATCAGTTTGAAAAATTTAGATTATAATTTAGGAGCTATATCTACATATATTTTAGTGGCGACATTAATTAATTAATAATTAATAAACGAAGTAGGTACCAAGATGTAAATAAGATAAACTTCTGTTTAAATTTTCGATATTTAGGAAGTCATGTTGTATATTCAGAGCACAACTGATGTGCCATGTGGTACCTGCAGCGATTGTTCCCAGCTTTTTCACCTCTAAATACTGTGCATAGACAGAAATTTAACATGCGCCTCGCATGGTCATCATAGTAAAAAAAAATACTTTAAAATATGTTGAATATGAAAAAACATTAATATATGACAATCAAATGCAAAATCCCATGGTAGAGGTCACTGAACATATAACATGTATTTTTCATTGTTTTTACATAGTTTTTTTTCATTCGAATTAATATTTTTTGACTTCATTATGAAGTTTATACTGGAATTACATTAAATTATTATTTGTGAATAGGTATACTGTTATCAGTTTGATATATTTAGATTATAATTTATAATAAACTTAGTAGATGTAGAAGATAAACTTCCCTACATCATAAAATAAACAAAATTTAATGTAATATAATAACAAATTGTTTAATCGTTTGCTAAAATAATTGGTAAATCTGAGTTCAAAATTGTTACCTCATCAAATTATAATAAAATTGAATGGTATATTTTATAATAATTGTCATTATAATCTATATAGGAACTTGTAACACCTATAAAGTATTATCGGGTAGGTCAAATTTTTGAATTTTTTAGTAAATTTTTGTTATTTAGGGAG